AAAGTCATCGTGTGACGCTCCACGTTCATAACACTATACAGAGTCATCGTATGACGCTCCACGTTCATAACACTATACAGAGTCATCGTATGACGCTCCACGTTCGTAACACTATACAGAGTCATCGTGTGACGCTTCACGTTCATAACACTATACAGAGTCATCGTATGACGCTCCACGTTCACAACACTATACAGAGTCATCGTGTGACGCTCCACGTTCATAACACTATACAGAGTCATCGGGTGACGCTTCACGTTCATAACACTATACAGAGTCATCGTGGGACGCTTCACGTTCATAACACTGCAGAGTCATCGTGTGACGCTCATAACACTATACAGAGTCATCGTGTGACGCTCCACGTTCACAGCACTATCCAGAGTCATCGTGTGACGCTTCACGTTCATAACACTATACAGGGTCATCATGTGACGCTTCACGTTCATAACACTACACAGAGTCACCGTGTGACGCTACACGTTCATAACACTATACAGAGTCATCGTGTGACGCTCCACGTTCATAACACTATACAGAGTCATCGTATGACGCTTCACGTTCATAACACTATACAGAGTCATCGTATGACGCTCCGCGTTCACAACACTATACAGAGTCATCGTGTGACGCTCCACGTTCATAATACTATACAGAGTCATCGTGTGACGCTCCACGTTCATAACACTATACAGAGTCGTCGTGTGACGCTTCACGTTTATAACACTATACAGAGTCACCGTGTGACGCTCCACGTTTATAACACTATACAGAGTCATCGTGTGGCGCTCCACGTTCATAACACTACACAGAGTCACCACGTGACGCTCCACGTTCATAACACTACACAGAGTCATCGTGTGGCGCTCCACGTTCATAATACTACACAGAGTCACCACGTGACGCTCCACGTTCATAACACTACACAGAGTCACCGTGTGACGCTCCACGTTCATAACACTATACAGAGTCATCGTGTGACGCTCCGCGTTCATAACACTACACAGAGTCACAGTGTGACGCTTCACGTTCATAACACTACACAGAGTCATCGTGTGACGCTCCGCGTTCATAACACTATACAGAGTCATCGTGTGACGCTCCGCGTTCATAACACTATACAGAGTCATCGTGTGACGCTTCACGTTTATAACACTATACAGAGTCACCGTGTGACGCTTCACGTTTATAACACTAAACAGAGTCATCGTGTGGCGCTCCACGTTCATAACACTACACAGAGTCACCACGTGACGCTCCACGTTCATAACACTACACAGAGTCACCGTGTGACGCTTCACGTTCACAACACTATACAGAGTCACCGTGTGACGCTCCGCGTTCATAACACTATACAGAGTCATCGTGTGACGCTCCGCGTTCATAACACTATACAGAGTCATCGTGTGACGCTCATAACACTATACAGAGTCATCGTGTGACACTCCACACTCATAACACTATACAGAGTCATCGTGTGACGCTCATAAGACCATACCGAGTCATCGTGTGACGCTCATAACACTATTCAGTGTCATAACACAAAACAGAGCTATCGTGTGACGCTCATAACACTATTCAGAGTCATCGTGTGACGCCCATAACACTATTCAGAGTCATCGTATGACGCTCCACGTTCACAACACTATACAGAGTCATCGTGTGACGCTCCACGTTCATAACACTATACAGAGTCATCGGGTGACGCTTTACGTTCATAACACTATACAGAGTCATCGTGGGACGCTTCACGTTCATAACACTGCAGAGTCATCGTGTGACGCTCATAACACTATACAGAGTCATCGTGTGACGCTCCACGTTCACAGCACTATCCAGAGTCATCGTGTGACGCTTCACGTTCATAACACTATACAGGGTCATCATGTGACGCTTCACGTTCATAACACTACACAGAGTCACCGTGTGACGCTCCACGTTCATAACACTATACAGAGTCATCGTGTGACGCTCCACGTTCATAACACTATACAGAGTCATCGTATGACGCTTCACGTTCATAACACTATACAGAGTCATCGTATGACGCTCCGCGTTCACAACACTATACAGAGTCATCGTGTGACGCTCCGCGTTCACAACACTATACAGAGTCATCGTGTGACGCTCCACGTTCATAATACTATACAGAGTCATCGTGTGACGCTCCACGTTCATAACACTATACAGAGTCGTCGTGTGACGCTTCACGTTTATAACACTATACAGAGTCACCGTGTGACGCTCCACGTTTATAACACTATACAGAGTCATCGTGTGGCGCTCCACGTTCATAACACTACACAGAGTCACCACGTGACGCTCCACGTTCATAACACTACACAGAGTCATCGTGTGGCGCTCCACGTTCATAATACTACACAGAGTCACCACGTGACGCTCCACGTTCATAACACTACACAGAGTCACCGTGTGACGCTCCACGTTCATAACACTATACAGAGTCATCGTGTGACGCTCCGCGTTCATAACACTACACAGAGTCACAGTGTGACGCTTCACGTTCATAACACTACACAGAGTCATCGTGTGACGCTCCGCGTTCATAACACTATACAGAGTCATCGTGTGACGCTCCGCGTTCATAACACTATACAGAGTCATCGTGTGACGCTTCACGTTTATAACACTATACAGAGTCACCGTGTGACGCTTCACGTTTATAACACTAAACAGAGTCATCGTGTGGCGCTCCACGTTCATAACACTACACAGAGTCACCACGTGACGCTCCACGTTCATAACACTACACAGAGTCACCGTGTGACGCTTCACGTTCACAACACTATACAGAGTCACCGTGTGACGCTCCGCGTTCATAACACTATACAGAGTCATCGTGTGACGCTCCGCGTTCATAACACTATACAGAGTCATCGTGTGATGCTCATAACACTATACAGAGTCATCGTGTGACACTCCACACTCATAACACTATACAGAGTCATCGTGTGACGCTCATAAGACCATACCGAGTCATCGTGTGACGCTCATAACACTATTCAGTGTCATAACACAAAACAGAGCTATCGTGTGACGCTCATAACACTATTCAGAGTCATCGTGTGACGCCCATAACACTATTCAGAGTCATCGTGTGACGCTCCACGCTCATAACACTATCTGGTGTACGCTATTACAAGGGTGTGAACAAAGCAGGGTCACGTCTAGCTATCTGGTGTACGCTATTACAAGGGTGTGAACAAGGCAGTGTCACGTCTAGCTGTCTGGTGTACGCTATTACAAGGATGTGAACAAGGCAGTGTCACGTCTAGCTGTCTGGTGTACGCTATTACAAGGGTGTGAACAAGGCAGTGTCACGTCTAGCTATCTGGTGTATGCTATTACAAGGGTGTGAACAAGGCAGTGTCACGTCTAGCTATCTGGTGTATGCTATTACGAGGGTGTGAACAAGGCAGTGTCGCGTCGGTCTGTGAACGAGAATGTGACATCTACCTAGTGTACGCTACTAGAAGGTCTCAGTGTCACGCCTACCTAATGAGTGTTAATGGGCATCTTGACACACAGTGTCACGCCGATCTGTTTAATGTGATGTAGGGGACACCTACCTGTCCAGTGTACGCTATTATACAGGTACATTGGAATGTGAGTGACACCTGCTGTATACTAGCATATGGATGTACCAGGATACGAGTCACGTACGCTATAATATATGTGTAGTAAAACTGAGTGACGCCTGTCTGTCTTGTGTACGCTGTTATACAGATGAACCAGAATGTGAATGACATCTACCTACCAACTGTACACTATTATACATGTGGACAGAATGTGAATGACATCTACCTACCAACTGTACGTTATTATACATGTGAACAGAATGTGAATGACATCTACCTACCAACTGTACGTTATTATACATGTGAACATAATGTGAATGACATCTACCTACCAACTGTACGTTATTATACATGTGAACAGAATGTGAATGACATCTACCTACCAACTGTACACTATTATACATGTGAACAGAATGTGTGTGACATCTACCTACCAACTGTACGTTATTATACATGTGAACAGAATGTGTGTGACATCTACCTACCAACTGTACGTTATTATACATGTGAACAGAATATGTGTGACATCTAGCTACCAACTGTACGTTATTATACATGTGAACAGAAAGTGAATGACATCTACCTACCAACTGTACGCTAATATACATGTGAACAAAATGTCAATGACATCTAGCTACCAACTGTACGCTATTATACATGTGAACAGAATGTCAATGTCATCTAGCTACCAACTGTACGCTATTATACATGTGAACAGAATGTGTGTGACATCTACCTTCCTGGTGTACGCTGTTATACATGTGAACAAAATGTCATGACATCTAGCTACCAACTGTACGCTATTATACATGTGAACAGAATGTGTCTGACATCTACCTTCCTGACGTACGCTATTATACATGTAAACAGAATGTAAAGACATCTAGCTACCAACTGTACGCTATTATACATGTGAACAGAATGTCAAAGACATCTACCTACCAACTGTAGGCTATTATACATGTGAACAGAATGTGTGTGACATCTACCTTCCTGGTGTACGCTATTATACATGTGAACAAAATGTCAATGACATCTAGCTACCAACTGTACGCTATTATACATGTGAACAGAATGTCAATGTCATCTACCTACCAACTGTACGCTATTTTACATGTGAAGTGTAGTAGAATGTGTGTGACATCTAGCTACTAAGTGTACGCTATTCAAAAGGTGTAGTAGAAAGTGTGTGATATCTACCTACCTGGCGTACGCTATCACAGGTGGGCCTAATGTGATTTACACAAACCTGTCTCATATTCGCTGTTAAACAGATGTACCAGAAGATGTGTGACAAATACCTGTGTGATGAACGCTTTTGTACAGACATACCGGAAGGTGTGCGACAAATACCTGTCTGATGAACGCTATTGTACAGGTAGACTGAAAGGTGACACCTACCTTCTTGGTTGACGTTCATGAAGCTGCGGACGATGTTGGAGGTGGGATGGATGTAGGGCTTGCTGGCTGAAAACCTGTTGTACAAGTCCATCATATACTCAGGGGGGTCGCGATGGGGGTCACGAATAATCCCCTCCGCCCCAATAGATGCCAGTCCCGGGGGTGGCATGTTCTCTAAACTGATGTCCTCAATTTCCACCTCTGTGTCTTCCATGTCATCTGCATCGTCCTCGTTGTCGTAGTCGTCGTACAGCTTGTTGTATTGGTAGTCCACACCACCATCCATGCCATCGGGGAGAGTGATGTTGCCAGTGACATTGAAGTCGCTAACGAGGCTCCAATTGAATGGGAGAGCAACGGATGGCCGGAAGATGGTCGGTAGCAGGAGAAACAATTGAATGACCTCAGAAATAAGCAGACGCAACCTCATCCTCTGACGGCGATAAGTTGGCGGTATAATGACGTCTTCGCACCTTCGATCACAGACGACAAGATAATGACACTACATCGGCACACATTGTGACGGTGTCGACTGGAATAATATCACGGCCTTGTCTACAGTCAATTTGTGTACAATTGGCATTAGGTGTTCCTAAATGTGGGCAGTACCCTATGTGCCTATTCCAATCAGTTTTGTCGGCAAATGAAGACCTACAACGTGCTCGCTGTCTTGTACTTCCACATTTCACAACCCGGGGTTCTCGCAATCTGCGCTTCACTGTCAAATTACGGCATAATTTACAATGGGTATCAGCGGGAACTCACACGGATCATATATAATGAAATATTATCAACCAGTAGTTGTTTTGCCGCAGAGTGAATGCATACGGTAGTCCAGAGTAGAGACGCATTTTCTCGGAGCCAAGGTTCTCTTTCAGGTGCTTACTCCGGTAGATAAGTGACGAACATGCCATGTGCTCTGGCGGAGGGCAAAGGTGGACCACGCTGCCTGCTTCGGGTCCGCACCCCTTATCTTCAGCAGTCCATAGCTCCTCCTTTCTTCTCCAACACCGCACTCCCGATAAATAAATGTTTTTGCTTATTATCACAAGATAATTCTTTGATTTGGTAATTACACGTACGATAGGCTGACAGACTCGGCTGAGACTTCTCTTTGTACAATGCTACCCTTCACCATTGTTGGTGCCTGTAGAACGTTGCCCCGACCTGCTACCTGGGCGGGAGAGCGTATACAGAACAAGGGAACTATACCACGCGTGTTTATTATTCTTTCAACAGAACTGAACTTATCACTTTCATTGTAGGATCCACGAGTACGTTGCTGTAGCCTCTAGGGTAGGAGTGTTCGTTGTAGTGTGTCTGGGCACCACATTCAGAGCGTACACCAAATATCCAGCAGGACTATACTCAAGGGCAAAAGTAACTAATCTCCTTCATATTAATCGCTTTATCAGGCAAAATTTTTATACCATATTTAAAATGATTTTTCAATAAAATTATGAATAAATATTATGAGTGTTTCCGGAGTGTTTCCGGAGTGTTTCCGGAGTCGTGGAACGTTGGTGTGATATGCCCATGGTATAAAATGGTACACAGTCAGATCCCTGTATTTACAGAGGTATTCTGTTTCTAATGTAGCGGGGAAGCTGTTTACTTTTATTATAGAGTCTCAGTTTGGTTTGATGTTAACAATCTTCTTTCTTACAGTCAGGCTGGTTTTCGCCCAAACTTTTCAACGGTTGACAATGTATTTAGATTGCAAGGTTTATGTTCCAAATAGTATATAAACCTAGGAGTCGATTATTTAGAAATGATGTATTTACTTCTTACCAAAGAATGTCATGGTATATTGTTTCTAAATGTGTATTCATCGGTAAATGCTTGTATTAAAAACCCAATCTGGTAAAACACAGTGCTTCTTAACACCTAGTGGTGTACGTCAAGGATATATATTAAGTCAGGTTTTGTTTATTTTCTTCATTTATAAGCTTGTCACAGAAATATATAACGAATGTCATTATGGTGTGTTTGTCACACAAGACATTATAGATTTAATGTTACTTTTATTTGTTGATGCTAATATAATGTTTTGATACTCTGTTAATTGTCTACAGAAACAGTTGAATGTATTACATTATTTTTGCAACAGATGGGATTGGAAGTTAATTTGTCAAAAGCAAATGTAACTGTCTTTAGAAATGAAGGTATCATTTACAAAAATGAAAAATTGACATATCTTAATATCCCCTTAAAATTGTTACTCATTATAAATATTTAGGCTTGACGATATCATGGAAACCTTTCTACAGCGTGTGCTATATTTGACGGCAAAATTGCACCTATCTATTTATAGGAGGAGAAATATGGAGAGAAAAATAATTTTCTTACTTTATACGCTTTTTAATGGTTGGAAAATATGATTCCAATAAAGATATTTTAGGTGAAACAGGACGCTGTCTCATTTATCTATTAAGTCAACTCTGAATGACAAATCATTGGTAAAAATTACGGAGAGTCGCAAATACATCCTCACCAATATTATTAACTTCTGAAAACTCTTGATGACAATGGTAAAACGAATTTGGTGTCCAATGTCAGATATTTATTATTTTCATGTGGCTATTCCTGTGTGTGGATATTCCAAGATGTAGGGGATACAAATTTGTTCTTATACTCTTTTAAACAAAGGTTACTGGATACGTATAGTCAAGACTGGCATGTTGATATATACCCTTCACGTTTCCTCACCCATTACAATGATATCAAGTCTGCTATATAATCAGAGCAGCAAATGAGCAGGCAAGATGATAAATCGCTTGTTAAAAAACTGCCAATGAGGTGAGATTGAGTATGAACTTCTTGTTTTATAAGTATGATACAGGGTATGAAACTCCCAAAAATTTCAGCCAGACCACAGGACTGGCTAGCTGAAATACTTGCCAGCCCTGACCAAAACCTGCTTGCCCACTATAATCTTCTTGTTTTATAAGTATGTGATGTATATAAGTATGAACATCTTGGAGAAAAGTATATTCAGAAGTTTAACAATATGCATAAAAACAAGATGTTAATGATCAGTCTTATAACATCCAATAACTCTGCTGTTATACGTTCATAAGCCATATTGTTGAAACATATATTCTTTGTCAGATAGTCATGTATATCACGTGACTAAACAAATTAAACTGAAATGCCAACTTTACAATGGGCCATGTTGCCTTAAATACATATAAAATGTTGGTCGGTCGGTTTGGGGGCGTTTTTATAAGGACATAACTAAAAACTACTTTATATGGTTGAAAAAGGATCCTAATTGCGTTCTGAAAATTAAATAAAATCAGTTAAAAAAAAATTCTGAATATTTTGTTTACTTGATTTGTTGAAATGCTTGGTCATTCTCATTCCACAAGACAGTTCGGAGAGGTTGTTCCAGGTATGACCCTATTATCCCCTCTCCGCCTAAACACAAACACACAAAAAACAAGCTTAAAAACAACAAAGTAACAACAAACCTAAATAGTCAATAGACTTAAACGCATTTCTTATGTTTTTGTACATATAACTACGAGAGAACATAGTACCAGATTGTATACGCAAGAGTGCGTCAAGGAGGTGCTGGTGGCGATACCTTGTCTGAGACCACCCTTACATGGGCGAGAGGTTCTATTTAACGAGGCACTATGTGCCTGCCACAATCAACCCTTGTTCCCAGGTTTCTCGTCAGAGGCATCCGCTTTTGGCCTGTTTCACCTGTGCAAGACAAACAATGCTTTTCTGTTTAATTAACAGACCAACCATTTGTTTTAATCGCCATCACACCTGATAAACGCCATATTGTGCACGGAGAAGTGTTGTATTCTCGCATTTCTATCACCAGTGGTCACATGTAGACGAGGTTCATACTGCTGCCGCCTGCAGGTGCGTGGCAGATGCTGCTGGGATACACATCAGGTGGCGCAGAGCTGGCGGTGAGCTTGAGGTGTCCGTTTTATTGAAATAATGGTTTTCTCGAATTATGTGTATAGCTCAACAATTTGATTAAAATTTGATTGACAGAATTCCTCGCCCCATTCATCTCGACACAACCGTGAAGACACTAGTTAACACAGCGGAGAGAGAGAGAGAGAGAGAGAGAGAGAGAGAGAGAGAGAGAGAGAGAGAGAGAGAGAGGGAGAGAGAGAGATAGAGAGAGAAGAGAGAGAGAGAGAGAGAGATAGAGTGAGAGAGAGAGGGGGAGAGAGAGGGAGAGAGAGAGAGTGTGAGAGAGAGAGTGAGAGAGAGGGAGAGAGAGAAGAGAGAGAGAGAGAGAGAAGAGAGAGGGAGAGAGAGAGAGAGGGAGGAGGGTGGTGGGGGCGAGAGAGATACTGGGGGTGGGGACGAGAGAGAGACTACAAACAAGTAACGGATCGTTAAATATTAATACCATGTATTAGAACAAAAATTCAGGTTGACGACAAAAATCCTATGCAAGAACATTTATGTCTGTAAAACCAAACACCAAAACACATCGTAGGGTGTCATTCGGCGTAGGTAGATTAATCTCTTTCTGTTTATCTTATTCATTCTGCTTATCGAGACTGTGTTTGTCGTAAGAGGCAACTAAAGGGATCGGGCTCGCTGACTTGGTTGATGCATGTCATCGTATCCCAATTGCGTTGATCAATGCTCATGATGTCAATCACTAGACTGTCTGGTCCAGACTCGATTATTTACAGACCGCCGTCATGAAACTCGAATATGGCTGATTGCGGCGTTAAACAACAAACAAACAAACAAAGATTCTGCTTATCATACAGTAGTAATTTCTTGATTTTATTCATTGATTGTGTATGTATTAGCGACGGGGCGTCTGCAACGCACGGAGCGTCTACGGCCTATTGGCATGCTGGAAGCTGGCGTGCATTGGTCAATACGTTCAATGTTTCAATGTCTGTGGTTCACTTTAGGGGGTGGCGTGTCATCACTTAGAGTGACAGAACCTCGCTCCGTGTTGTCACTGGACAGTACCACCGGGACAACATACTGACACCCTCAGTGCAAGGCGTGTGCGTCGACGCTTTGTCTTTCAGGACGACAACGCCCGTGCTCACTGTGCACAGATGAGCATCGATCCACGCACGTTGGGATACGATGACATGCATTAACCAAGTCAACTAGCCTGACCACTTGATCCCGTTCGTCGCCTCTTATGACAAGCATGGGTTGCTCTAACCCGAATCTTCACGGGCTGCTTCTGTGTACTGACACCAGACAAGCCAGGTCTCGATATGATTAATTACTATGAGTAATTGATATGGAGGAATGTTTTTGCTCGTGAACGCTTTCACGAAAATATTTTCGATATTCAATCTGTTTGATGACGTAGGTGATATTTGTGAAAACAGGATGTTGTTTCAGCACAGAGGTGCACGTGTCGTACAGTGATATACTGACGTGGCCATGTATATAACAGGTGCACGTGTCGTACAGTGATATACTGACGTGGCCATGTATATAACAGAGGTGCACGGGTCGTACAGTGATATACTGACGTGGCCATGTATATAACAGAGGTGCACGGGTCGTACAGTGATATACTGACGTGGCCATGTATATAACAGAGGTGCACGTGTCGTACAGTGATATACTGACGTGAACATGTATATAACAGAGGTGCACGTGTCGTACAGTGATATACTGACGTGGCCATGTATATAACAGGTGCACGTGTCGTACAGTGATATACTGACGTGGCCATGTATATAACAGAGGTGCACGTGTCGTACAGTGATATACTGACGTGGCCATGTATATAACAGAGGTGCACGTGTCGTACAGTGATATACTGACGTGAACATGTATATGTACAGAGGTGCACGTGTCGTACAGTGATATACTGACGTGAACAGGTACATAACAGAGGTGCACGTGTCGTACACAGATATACTGACGTGAACATGTATATAACAGAGGTGCACGTGTCGTACAGCGATATACTGAC